TTATATAAGGATGGTTCTTCCATGTAGAGACTCACAACTGCCGTGGTTTTGGAAGCTCCCAGTGTTAGACCCTTGTGGTGTACGGTATTCAATGTTTTAAGATGTAGCTCTCTTTTGGATCCATAACAAATAGAAGTGCTCTTTTGAGTCTTAGCAATACCTCCCTATTAGTGCCAAAGTCAGTATGGGACACTCAGAATACTAAGTTTTACGAAAAGTTCTTTTTATACAGCCAATACAGTATGTACACTGTCACCTTCATCAGACAAATGACCAGTGAAGCGTACGCACACAAACATGTAAAATGTGAACGAGTTGTCCACAAAATCAATGTCGATTCGGCTACGCTGTACGCGTATATGTACTGATGAAGGTGACAGGGTACATACCGTACTAGTCATCGAAGCGTCACATATAAACTCTTACTGGTTGTGTAAAAAGAACTTTTCATAATCCATACTTTTTTTCTTTTTCTTTTTTTTTTTTCTTTTTTTTTATCAATTTATTTTTCCAACAGTTTTTCATAATATAGGTACAGAACAGGTATTTTCATTTTCACACTCTCTAACACACATTTTGACACTTCATTCACTCATCATCAATATCATCCTGAATGTTGTCGTCATCTTCCTCATCATCATCCATCATCCTCACATTCATCATCATCATCATCATCATCATCATCATCACCATTATCATCTTCCTCATTCTCAGAATCATCAACATCATCCCCATCATCCTCATCATCATCATCATCATCATCCTCACAATCATCATCATCATCATCAACATCATCATCAGCATCACTATCTCATCAGCATCCTGATACTAAACGTTCAAACTTTAGTTCCTCATAGCCACCATCATCACCCTCAACGTCATTGTCATTATCCATACAATGTGTGTCATCAGCAACACACCTCAACAGACAGCCACTGAACCAAACTGCAACATTATTTTTTTTAATTGGTACATTCAATATTTGACATCAACATACTCAACAATCATGATTAACTCATTCATAAAGAGGAAGATCAGCATAACTCTTTTTCTTTTTAATATATTATTACATGTATAAACATTTTTATGACAGACAACATAATCCACATCATGTTATATTTTATTTCAGAACCAAATCATGTACTTCACTTCAATAAAAAGCATGAACAGATAAACCCACTCCTATACGCTTTCACTCACACACACATGCACTCTATCTATAAAAAGATAAAACTCCTGTAATTGCTTTATCTGATATGTGTATAATATTGTCGAAAAGGAAGGGAAAAGAAATAAGAGAGAAGAAAGGAAAAAGAAAAGGAATGAATAGGCATAGACATTCTGTTGCAAAAAATATCATATTGATGAATTCTAGGGATAGATACCAGAGACGGGGATGTCAAACTATACTCATATAGTACTTAAAAATATATTACCAGAACCAAAAAAATATATTGCCAGAGTACAGGGCAGTTTCAATAGAATTAATTCATAATTAACATATATTCAAAATATACATGTGTATGTATGTACGTACATCTTTATAACTACACATGTATTTAAAATTAGTCCACAAGCTCTATTAGCCGTATCCATTTTCCCAGTATGCAGTAAATTTCTGCATGTAGCATTCACCTTTAGCAGTTGCAATATAACTTTGTACTGTGTAATGGTCCATGATTTTAAGAATTAAAGAGTTGTTATTCAACATTCTATTGTTACATCTAGAACTGTAAATGTATTGCTTAATTATTAAAAGTATTTCGTTATCGCTCTTATTAAACCGTTCTGTTTGTGTAAACAATCCTAATATGTAAGTGATTTTATTGTATTGGAAAGGAATTAGCAATGCATCTAGGATAGATTCAAAACTTTGCAAAAAAGACTGAACTTCTTGGCATTCCCATAATAAGTGCACTATAGTTTCTTCAACTTGATTACAAAAAGTACATAAAGGATTATCTGAGATACCTACTTTAGAGAAAAAAGAATTTGTTGTCAGTATATGATGCGAAATTCGAAACTGAAGCCATTGTAGCTTTGTATTAGAAGTAACTTTGAAAGGGATTAGATGTATTCGTTTCCAGTTTTGGTCATTGATGTCAAGTTCAGCATTCCATTTAACCTGCCCAGTTGGAACTATTTTTCTATTTACCAGTGTGTTGTAAAAAAGTTTTGAGCCTTTAGCAGAGCAAATAAAACTTTCCAGATTAACTGGAATATATGGAAAAGAAATTTTTAAAAATGGAATCTCATTACCTGCTAACAACTGTCTTACTGCAGCCATAACATCATGGAAAGTTAGAAAATCTGTGTTTATTTGGAATAAATCTATAAAATCCGGAAAATTGAAGAAAGAGTTATCCTTCTTGAATAAATCACTGATTATAACTATACCTTTGTTATACCATTCTCTGTAAAATCCATACTTAACAACCTGAAGAAAATGTTAAGAAATATAGAATATTAAGTGCTTTAATGCATTTTGCCTTAAAGTACTTTATGAGGAAGGAACGATAATTTTCGATCATGTTTAACGCCGATGCATTTAGTCTGTTCTGCTTCAGGTGTGGGTGGGCCATCAGGGGTGATATTGGGATCGCCATGGGTTTTACGTAATTGACGAAACCGTTTTATCATCAGCCCAGATCTGAAGTTTATTTAAAGATTGCTGTAATTATCTTTCGATGGTATTCATAGGTTTTGACCGGTAGCATAAAAGAGAGTCTTCCGCGCATATGAAATCTTCTACTGATAGAGACAATGTTTATTATCAGCGCAAAAAAGTAAAAAAGAACTTTTACCTACACAGAATTATCGTATACTTGATATAATATGTTTTGTTTCATCAAATGGTTCAGTCAAATTATCCTTTTTTCCAGAGATATTAATGAGCCAGCGGTCAGGCACATTTGTTTTCACGTGGTTTACACGTGATGTGTTTATTACAAAATGTAAAATCACAACATCAGATAATTTCATATAAATAACTGTTGTAAAAAATTTCAAAGGAGTAAGCAATAAAACAAAAGATTGACATGTTCGTTAATAACTAACTATTCTTTTTTCGGGAATAATTTGCAGCTCTCCGCGCTCGTCGCCTCCAAAACTTTGAACTGGAGGTCACATGACATGCAGTCTGTTTGCCGTTTAAAGAGGTGAAGGAAACAGAGCGCAAAGAATCATTAGAGAGGTGGGGGATCGGGAAAAGAATACACCTGCTGTTACTCACTGCATGATAATGGCAGGAGGCGACTAATGTGGGAACCCCTTGCAGAATTGGGGATTTGCTTTGATTCCTTTATTTGGGGACACAAAAGCGACCAAAATCTGCTGCGCCCATTGCAACATTTGGTATCTTTGTCTTTCTTTTTACTTTTAACTACCTTTTATTTCCTAGCGCCTAGCTTGGCAACACCTCACTTTTGGCTTGAATGTTGAGCCACGGTAAGGAAGGGAATGGGTTCTGTCCTCTGGCCGGGGCACATCAAAGTCCTTAAAAATGGTAGTTGTTATTCCCTGCTGGTTCACCCGTTGTCAGTATAGTTTAACCGGGCGAAATGCTGTGCTTGGTTCCTTCGACATGGCATTTCAGTGAGATTGCACTATAAAGTCGGCATCAGATCTGCGCTATCACAAGGAGGCAAGTACACCAACATACCCTGTCTCCTGCATACACACACGCAAGCACACATATACTACACACATCGAGGCACGTCCTTAAATGACATTAGCTGTTAATAGGACGTTAAACAAAATTAAACCAAACCAATTGTGGCCTGTAGGCTAGCTTCAATTGAAAGTGATTGTAGCCATGCATGCAAAGTTGCCTTGCTGTGGCGGTTTACGACAGGGAAAAACCTGCCTATTTTAAGCTACAGTATGTTAGTGTTGTACTTGACAGTCAAAGAATATTACAAATTAATATTCTTAATAAATTATCAATGATTGCATTATTATTTCGTATACATTGTCAGTCTCTAGATCCGTAATGTTCAAATTAGAAAATGTAAAACGTATTCCGGAAATGAAACAAAATCAGCCACAAAATGCCTTTGTGATGACTTTGACTGTATTTACTACATAGCTCGTGCTATAAACCGCAATAACAGAATGTTAAATTCAGGAATTTTGTGTTCATAAATTATCTATAAAGAGCGAGAAGTAAAATAACAACTGTTATATTTTTATAGGTATTTCATCAAAACAGTTGCCAGGGTTGAAGGGAGAATTTGCTCCCTTTCATGTTGTTTTACTATGTGTATTGGTCCCTTTCTGGGTTTTTTCTGTGGAGAAGCAGTGCCCGAACTGTCAGTGAGAGGCGAATGCTTTCACAGCATCACTGCTTTCAAGAGGTTAACGCTCGGGACAACATGCCGTCCTTATAGGGGTATGTGTCAGGGATATCTACATCTATAGTAATTCATGTCATTATAATATGTCTATACACATCCGAATCCTGTTGACCAACACGTAAGGTTTGGACACTGATGGTGACGAGCCCTCTACGTACACCAGAGTATCTAACCTACCTACCGACACCAGGCATGCGACACACTTTATCATCAGCAGTATTTGACTACGTCCCGACACGGGAAACAACCTGTCTGACGTTTTTTTTAATGTCTATGCTGGCCTTCCTGAGTGTTTTATGTGGTGTTTAGTGATGGATTAGAGATATATTCGGGTAAGGATGCGGCCCTGACCGCCCTGTGGACGTCGGAATGTCCGGTATGGAATGGCTATCTGGGGAATGCCTTTCGTCTCCTCGTGGTACTGCTGTCTCTGTTGACTCGTCCACTCAGTTACACAGGTGCGGCAGCAACCAAACACAACAGCGTCATCGTCAAAGTTAATGTCCAACCGTCATTATCTCTCACCCCTCACGCCTTCCGTGTCCCTTGTGATAAACATTAATTTAACTTCCCCAAAACAAGGGCGGCTAATCCTATAAATACACCCGGCCTGGCTCAGTGTCCCCGCAGAAAAGAAAAGGAACGGTCAACAATCATCACAGGTACAGAAGGTTCACATTCAACAAACTTTACATTGGGCGTCATGTTGTTGATAACTTTGTTCGCGATCTGTGTCTCCATGGCACTTGCGGAAGACCACTGCAGAGACGTGAAGGGATCGATGTGGAGATCGGACCCAGGCGATTGTTCCAGATTTTATGTCTGCTTTCACGGGATGGAATTTAAGTACAATTGCCCGACAAACACAGTCACTGATGTCGTCAGCCGAGCATGTGTCCCCAAGGGATCCCGACTGGACACATGTAAGTGTGGCCGTAATAAAGAGGTTGTTTGAAGTTAAATAATAGGTAACGTAAGAAGGTGTAACAGTAATCCTTCAAAAGATATATTCTGAGGATTTGTTTCAAGGTAATAACTTCAATTTCTTGTTTTAGAAATCGTAGTTTTTATCTCATAGAAGATCTGTTGATGTTACTTTTATCATGTTTTATTTTTTTCATTATTGCTATAAAGCTTATTAAGGTTTTATAACCACGTTGTGAAATGTGTACCAACTAAAAAAAAACGTCGAATTGACGCAAAACGTTTGCGATCAATGTGTTACAGCATTAGGTTCTATTGTATAGTGTCTCATCTATTCGGTTCTTTTCACACCAAGTAAGTTGCTTTGTCATTAATAGAGATTAAGGATAAACTCACATACCTGACGAGAGTAGGAGACTAATGTCTTATTATATGCTTGTTGCTGTGGTAACTACTTTTGATATGTCACGTCTACTGCCAGCGGAGGTCAGATCTTATTTTTTATAACAGGTAAAAAAGAAGGGAAACCTGACACTAGTCAAGGAAAACCGGATCTTGACCAAGGAAAGCCAAATAGTGAAGAAGTGAGCCCAACTGTTGACCAAGGCAAGACGGATACTGACCAGGCGAAACCAAAACCTGTCCAAGTCACACCGAATACTGACCAGGGGAAACCCGACACTACCCAAGGAAAACCGGATGTTGACCTGGGAAAGCCGGTGCTCGGTGGACTGACCGTGATACAAACACAGACAGTGTGTCAGTCGACTCCCAAGGAAAGACTGCCCCACTCCAACTGTGGCAAGTACGTAGACTGTCACTCTGGTGTCCCACTGGTCCACGAGTGTCCGTACCCGCAACTGTATAACATCTATACTGAGCAGTGTCAGCACCATGACCTTGTGCAATGTCAGACCCGGAAGGAGCCTAAGTCACCATGTAAGTATTTAACGCCCTGTAGCACTGCTTTCCTTCGTAATACGTTGATACCCGTAACATTATCAACGCCACAAGTGCCTTTTCTGCGGGCACTCCGGGTTTCTCCCAGACTGCGCGCGTCTATCCGGCCCAGCAACAGTGATTAATACATGTATAAGTAAGAACAATAAACATAGTTGTTTCATATTGTTTGTAAAATAAATAAAGTTACGTACATAACAAGTGTAACATTACAGTAGTTATACTCGACCACCTCAACACGAGGAAGTACACATTGTAGGGTTATTTAAGCGTTAAACAGAATTGTGCCGTGTTATATAGGACCATAACACGAAACAGAATGCTGTTTTATGCTTTTATTTACATTCTTATTTTTCATAAATGTTTATTTCTTAGTTCACTACGCACCTTTAAATTCTAATTTCGCGGTGTTTGTTCAAGAGGTAGAACAGTCCATGGAATGCTCACGGAATGTTGTCTCGTGACTTTTACCGTAAACAAATATAGTTCGTGGAAACTCAAAAATATCGATACTATTTCCCTAATTTGAATCAACATATTCAATTCACATTTTCATAATTGTCTTACATAAAACGGTGAATATTAATTTATCATAGTGGATTGATTGCTTATATGCATGTTAGTACAGAGGGGGAAATCCATCCGGTAGTGAGTCGGACCCGTTGAGACATAACACGGAACTGGCCTTGGTAATGTTATTTAGTGGCAATGCAGAGCAAATGTAAATATTAACTTACATATTATGCATTGATATTAATTGCTAAGAGATTTTAAATTTGGACATATTAGCTTAAAGTATATGGTATAATATGTACGCTATACAGGGTTATATTTACGGGATACAAGATAATTTTGTTAAATAATATTTATTTTACTGTATGCAATGCTATATTTACTTCCAGCACGGTTGTATTGACTGAATACAGGGCAATATTTACTTCAAGCACGGTTATATTGACTGAATACAGGGCAATATTTACTTTAAGCACGGTTATATTGACTGATTACAGGGCAATACTTATTTCAAGCACGGTTAAATTGACTGAATACAGGGCAATATTTACTTTAAGCACGGTTATATTGAATGAATACAGGGCAATAATTAATTCCAGAACGGTTATATTGACTAAATACAGGGCAATATATACTTCCAGCACGGTGATATTGACTGAATACAGAGCAATACTTACTTCAAGCACGGTTATATTGAATGAATACAGGGCAATTCTTACTTCAAGCACGGTTATAATGACTGAATACAGGGCGATATTTACTTCAAGCACGGATATATTGACTGAATACAGGGCAATATTTACTTCCAGCACGGTTATATTGACTGAATACAGGGCAGTATTTAATTCCAGCACGGTTATATTGACTGAATACAGGGCAATATTTACTTCCAGCACGGTTATATTGACTGAATACAGGGCAATACTTACTTCCAGCACGGTTATATTGACTGAATACAGGGCAATACTTACTTCCAGCACGGTTATATTGACTGAATACAGGGCAATACTTACTTCCAGCACGGTTATATTGACTGAATACAGGGCAATACTTACTTCCAGCACGGTTATATTGACTGAATACAGGGCAATATTTACTTCAAGCACGGTTATAATGACTGAATACAGGGCTATACTTACTTCCAGCACGATCATATTGACTGAATACAGGGCAATATTTACTTCCAGCACGGTTATATTGACTGATTACAGGGCAATACTTACTTCCAGCACGGTTATATTGACTGAATACAGGGCAATACTTACTTCAAGCACGGTTATAATGACTGAATACAGGGCAATACTTACTTCCAGCACGGTTATATTGACTGAATACAGGGCAATATTTACTTCCAGCACGGTTATATTGACTGAATACAGGGCAATAATTAATTCCAGCACGGTTATATTGACTGAATACAGGGCAATACTTACTTCCAGCACGGTTATATTGACTGAATACAGGGCAATATTTCCTCAAGCATGGTTATATTGACTGAATACAGGGCAATATTTGCTTCAAGCACGGTTATATTGACTGAATACAGGGCAATATTTAATTCCAGCACGGTTATATTGACTGAATGCATTCAGTGAATTGCTGTGTTTTCTTGTATAACTTCACTAGAGGCGAACTATCGTTTATGTATGTGGAGTTTGATAACCTGTTTCTCCCATTAAATGTTCGTGTTTCTCTCCATAGGTGACTATGACGCCTACCAGTGTGGTTTGTCCTCGCATTGCATGCCGTGTGAGTTACGTTTTCCCAGCTGTGATGGGGCGGGGGACGGCCCCAACCCCTGGACAGGCCGGGAGTGGACCCCCTACTTCATCACGTGTTACAAGGAACGTCTTACCTTCCAGTCCAAGTGTTCACTTGCCGCCTCCAGTGCAGCGAGCTATGTGTTCGATCCCGTCAAGAAACGATGCGTAGATGCCAAGAAAGTTGACATGACAAATGTCTAAATTCTATGATGAAAGATTGAAATGATTTTGTTATTTGTTGATTTGATATGAGATTTTGAATTTATGTTCCTTTCTGAATGGTACAGCATTGTTTTATAATAAAGAAACATTGAAACTAACAACATTGTTTCTATTGCTTTAAACATCAAAGCGTCTGGTAGACCGAATCTGACCTAACCTTATCACTTAAGATGCTGTAGATACCTTATGTTTGCCTCCCATACTCAATAAATAAACATGACAGCTACATAGTACAGACAAAACCGGAAGTACATCTATGAAGGTTTTTTAATCGGTGTCTGTACCTCTGGGTCTTCTGTTTGCTGGATATTGTTCTTCCTTTCTTCTGTATTTAGTACTTTAGGTTTGATACTATCTCCTCTGACTCATCTTTATCTCCCTAAATAACGTCCAACGTATGTTATTCACACGGCAGCACTGTATCAATGAAGAGGAACTACAATTATAAACTTCTCTTCAGCTTCCCAATGATTTTATTTTCTTTTTGATTTTTTTGTTTCCCAGTCTCCACAACACACATACAACTTGTTTCCTTATTAACATTTCATAGACAGATCAATAATGTTGTTTATCACTTTGAAAATATTTAACAATATTGAAAAAACTAATTTCAATCGTTACTGCATCTTTTTTCTTTTGAACAAGATCTTGGAAGATAAAAGCCTCCTACAGTTGTAATACAGAAATACTTCTCCTGCATAAGTTAATTATGATAAATTACCGTGAAATTATCTCGAAACATGAAGACAGGTCAATATCAGAGAGGTCATTTACAGACTTATGATAGATCAATAACGGAAAGGTCATCTCGTGACTTAAGGACAGGTCAATAACGGAAAGGTCATCTCGTGACTTAAGGACAGGTCAATATCAGAGAGATCACCTCGTGACTTAAGGACAGGTCAATATCAGAGAGATCACTTCGTAGATTTGAGGACAAGTCAATAGCGGAGAGGTCAAGATACAAGAAACTTGATTTTTTTGTCGTTTACATATAACATGAAACATTAGCTCTAAAGAGCTATTCTCACGACAGAAAGGCGCATTCTTATTGAGCTATTCTTACGACAGATCAAAAACGGAGAGGTCATCTCCAGACTTAAGGACAGGTCAATATCAGAGAGGTCATCCTCGAGACCTAAGGACTCGATGAGATTGTATCGAGACTTGAGGGCAGGTCGACTAAATCAAAATACGAAAACTAAAGAAACTATTTTATATATATATTTTAAATAACATGAACAACATCAAAATGATAATTTTGTTTTTTCTTTAAAAATCACACACAGATGACAAACAAAGAGATGGAGGATACGTTTCTGTCCTCCAAAACGTATGACATTTATCGATGTTTGTTTAGTATTAATGTCACTGTGGTACACACACGCGCTCCTTGGGGTCAAACAGCTGAATCCTGTCCTTTTTTGGACATTGTCCGTGGTATACCACACGCTCGTTCTTACAGACGACAAAGAATGGCGTATTTTCCCGCCCGTTCCAGGCATTCATACCATCCGGAAGTTCGTTACAGCTGGGGAACCGGATGTAACATGGGATACAGTGACCCTGCTTACACTGGTTAACTTCGTAGTCACCTAAAACATATATAAATATATCACATAATATCAATCAAAAACATTACTATAAAGCCAACCGGAAGTGAAAATGGCATATACTGTATGTAATTATCCATTTAATAACACTAACTACGGATATTTGTTTCCAGGACAAGGGACAAAATTCAATACATGTAACTTGTCTACAATCAATATCCAAATTTAAACAAGTGATAATCTTAATATACTTACATGGATTCTTGGGGACGGAGCGAGTTCCACAGTCAGCGGTTTCTGGTATCTGACAACGTCCAGAGGCTTCGTCAAACAACAGCGGGTAGTCACACTCCTTAGTAGCGGATCTGACGTCAGAAGCCCTGGTCATCATCATCTCACAATCGACGTACTTCGCACAATTTCCGGTCGGATGTGGTTTAAAACCATCATCGGGTAAACAAACAGCTGCTTCTTTCTTTGTACCTAATAATATAAAACGACAACATATCGATATAAAAAGTTCGAACAAAACGATTTTGGAAAGACATACATTAAATGTTTTTTAAAAGAAACAAATCTTGAACTAGAAACTACGATAAGTTTATCGGACATAGGTTGTGTGTGTAGTCCTGAAAACGAGTGTTAGGTAGAATATATCACATGGGTATCGCAGTGCCCGGAACGATATACGCTATTTACATGTAATGCAGTATCCATTAAGATACTGTCAAATTGCGTCTAACATATAATTTGTATGCTGATGATTGAAACAAAATGTATCAAATCATTAAAATGGAACAAGAAAAACATACATTTCTACTACGTGATAATTAGTAAAATAATAATTTCATTATTCCTTTAGTGTGTGGAGTTTCGAAAACATATTGTACTTTACTTCCCTAGAGAAGGAACAAGAACACTTACAGGTCAGTAAGGGCCCCGTCTTGTGGCAATATATCCCCCATAATCATCAAGAAGCAAGCTGCCCGTATAGCTGAGCTTGACGTTTGACATTTGGACTTAAAAAAGAATCGCAAGGAAGCAAAATATACATTTCACATGTACTATGATGTGAGTTTTGTTTCCTTCCACCTCCATATTTGCTGGGCTAACAGAAATGTAAATACCGGTGCAATACTCATTTGTTAGCTTTGATTTGTTTTATTTCACCTTATATACCTCCTCCTTCAAGAGCCAGGGTCAAAGTCAGAGATCCACTTTGTCTTTGACCTTTGGACCCAAATGACCTTGACCATTAACCCAGTGACCCTGATCTTTGGTCAGTTGACTTATTCTTTAATTCCGACCAAATTTGCTTCTTATTATTATAAGAAAATGTTAATCAGTAAAAAATACAAAACTTGACCTTGACCCTTTGAACCCCGTAACCTGGACCTAAGGTCAGTTGACTCTGTGTTAAGTTCTGAACAACATTGCTTCATAATAACATAACAAAATGTTCATCGGGGAAAAGGTACAAAATTTAACCTTCACCTTTGACCCAGTGACCTTGACCTTTGGTCAATTGACTCCTTGTTTATTCTGAGCAACATTGCTTCAGAGTGTCATAGCGAAATGTTCACCAGTAAAAAAGATACAAAATTTAACCTTGACCTTTGACCCAAATACCTTTACCTTTGGTCAGTTGACTCCATGTTTAATTGTGATCAACTTTGCCTCATCATGTCATAACAAAATGCTCATCAGTGAAAAGATGCAGACATACAGAGTGATTACTATAGGGCACCCGTATCTCCGATACGGGGCCCTTATAAGTAAAGATGAACCTATTTTGCCTTACCTTAAATAAATGTTTAGTGGATTGCCTCCCCTAGCCCATTTTTCAAATTACATTAAAACAATGTGTCCTAACTCTGCAAAGCGTGAGGCACGAGACCTTTTAGCATGCGATATTCCAAAGATACATACATGTACCTGTATGGGAAATATTGTAAGTGAAAGAGCAAGACAATTATGGCCATGACAAAATATTGTTGACGCCCACCCAGCGCCAGCCTGCAAGCCAACAAGCCAATCGACCCCCCGGTCCAATAAAGTAATATGTCCCTTTATAGATAGGCGCAGAAACGCATCAAATCAAATGCGCATTTTAGTTATTTTATTTCAGGCAGATCTACATGTTTTCAACTGCTTCCAGGCAATTGCCACGGGACTAGCTCTGTGCCATAGGGACATATTTCCCATAGAGACATCTCATCGACTGTGTTTATATAGAATTCCAAAAGCTTGCGATATTTACTGTGATTTTTTACTCAAAGAAAAAGAGTCTACAGAAAACTTGTATTAATGACGTTGACGAGTTTTAAGGTCAGAGGGCAACGGTAAATGGGTGATTTGTATAACATCAGGTGTTTCGGAAGAATCCGTAATCGGTCTAGATCGTTGTCTATATGCGTTCTTTGAAATCAAATGCATTCTGATTTGCTGATTATGCAAAGGTAAATAAAACAATTCCAATGATTTCGATCAGACACAGTTACAAGAATATCTTAAAAGGACGGATCATTTGCGCAACACAGATTATGTCAGAAAATCGCATGATGTTATTGTGTTTCCCTTCCCCGAATAGTTTAAAACCAGCGAAATATATATAATTATTTCAATGCAGATATCTTTATGTTCGAACATTGAATTTTGACATCATATAATATCTTGTAATTTGTAATTATTTTGTACTCTAATGATGAGAGATATATATCCTATACCAGCAAACTGTGATTTGTAGTAATTTTGTATTCTTAAGTTAGTGTTTGGCATAGTTTCTGTATACTGTACTAGACTTCTGTCGTGTGTACATTTAGTGACTTTGTACCCTGCTGTTTGGAGTCTGGCGTAGAGGCTTTGCATGGTGTACCAGAAACTGTGATTTGAAGTAGTTTTGTGTTATAACCCTAAGAGTCTAGCGAAGAGGATTTCTATAGAAACCTGCCATAAGATATACTCACAAGTGTCGTAGGTGGATCCTTTCGGAACACAAGCTTTAGTGATGAAATCTCGGACGGAGTTGATGGGACACATGTACTTGTACGAAGCTGAGTTAAAACAGAGGTAGAAGACGGAACAGTCATCAGGATCAGCTATCCATTGGATTCCCGTATTTCCTTGGCAGATATTGTCTGCTCTAGAAAAGCACACGACCAGAAATAAAACTAGAATACTAGAGAAAAACATACTCTTGTTTTCAGAAATATCCGTTATTAGGTATAAACTATGTCTGTCTGTTTGTGATCAGTATACTATTTCCTGCGTGAATTACGGGTATTTTATACGAGATGTATCTATCCACTGGCGTCATTGGAGAGACGTGCGCGACTATGTACGAGATCCAGACATGATAATTGACATGCATTAGGCGGTTTTTAGAAGGCGTGACGACAATTTCTGCTATGTAAACCTTCACATTTCCACATAGCCTAGAAACACACCGACTCTTAGGGAGGATAATATGTTTACATGTCAATTAAAAATAATCGCTGCTATTTTTTAACCAGAAGACGCCGTATATGTATACCTTTTGCTTAGTGATATACCGCGACCAAAGTCCCAGCGGAAGTTGTTAGGAGCTTGATGTCCGAGGAGTGTAGATTAGATGACGTCACATGCTGAAAGAACAGCCTAGATACTAACCGATCTTGGTCATTACGTAAACAATTTTGTTTATGACGCTGCTAAACCAATAAAAACTTTTAAAAATTATTTTTAAAAAATTAAAAATTCGAGGAAGATTGTAATGATGTATTTTCTCATGGAAAATGATGAGTTCTCTGCACAATACAAAACTCACTGGCACGGAAATTAACCAAAAGAAAACTTAAGGACAAAACTAGAGGAATTTACGATGTACGGAATAAATAAATAAAAACGTACTCTCCATAACTTTATATGCATGTTATTTGTTACCATTCTTAGCACATGACTTCTATATAAAAAAGGAAACACTGGAGATCTTGATTATTAAAACTATTTGAATAAATCTTTCGACAAACAATGTATACATTGTTTACTCTGTTCATGTTACAGGTATGTATTGTAATATATACCCTCCTGTTACCTATGTACATATCTGATGTAAATAAGAATACTGAAAACAATTAAACATTGTTTTATGCATAGGACAGGTCGGCACACCATAACAAACACACAGGATGTTGCGTGTTTTCGTTATGTAATTCACTGAGGACTTGCCCATAATCTTCATCAACCTCCATCACTGGAACCAGTGGGGTGTACGTTTGTCTGTCAGTAGTCGACAACATTCACGAAGTGACGATATTCATAGAAAACTCCTGAATACCGAATCAAATGTGACATGCAAACATCGTATATTTGGAAGTAGGGATGTTACTATTAAAAAGGGGTAGTTCACGATAAAACGTCGAAACCTTCCTACTTGTCGTACAAGTTACTTACTAGTAAGTTGTCGTGTTGGTTATGTTGCAAGTGAAGATTTAGAAAAACAGCTGAAGCAGAAGAGTCTGTAGTGTCCTTGATTTCCAGCCAAGGAGGATATAAATGATCGACAAAGTCATTATATTTCTTGTTATTTAAAGACAGCACATGGTCAATATAGATGGACATGAATGCGAATTGAAGGACGTGACGTGGTTTTTCTTAACTGTCTTGACAAGCTCATCAATAAATTCAGCTCCAAATGAAAACAAAAAACCAAATCGGCCAGGAGAGGGATACATTTTGTAAAAACCCTAAAGCTCTATCTTGTATCTTTTCTAACTTTCTGTCGTTCTTCATTGAACAAGAGTGCCAGAATAAAGGAAAGAAGTTGAAATTTAAAACAATAAAAGATTTATAAATTACAAGTAGGCGTTAACACGAATAAATGCCACAAATCTTGATTATTTGATAAAAATGATCTTACACTCGTTTTCATTTCATACGAAATTTATGAAACTCGTCACGAGTTTTTCAATCTAGCTCGCCAGAGGCTCGCTAATTCGAAAAAGTCTAAGACTCGTTTCATCAATCTCATAAGAAATGGAAACACATGTAAGATCCCTTTTTTAGTCCAGTATGAAGCTATTTGATAGTTTTTGTAATTACTTATTACATATTAGTCATACTTTTAATTGCATGCTGATTAGCATACAATTCAAAATCTGGTCCACTGATACTTGTAATCAAAAGTGATTCTATTGATTCATTTCAATTGTGTTTTTCCTAGAGCGTACTTATTTGTTTGTGAATGTAAAATAGAAATAAATAGATAAAGAAACAAAGAAAGGGGTTAATATATGCTTTCAGAATGCTGACCATTCGCCAACATCTGTATAAAAGGTGGGTACATAGTGAGTTCGAAGTCTCGCCTTATATCAGTTAGTCATATACCAGTCATGTCATTGAAATCCAACCATGACGATATCTGTGCTAGGGTTTGGTACATAGTGAGGAGTTCAAAGTCTAACGTTTTGTTGCGTAGTCTGACCTTACTTTATATATAGTTCAGGTAAGAACGATACTTTTCTGCTATGACAAGCGAAATATTTAGAGATGACCACCCTTGTTTGAGACTTTAAGGGAGGAGAAAATGCTCCAGGTATGTAGCAGACACACACCTATTGATATAGCACCTCACGTGTGTCCACAATAACATATCTAAAATACCTGTCATCATGGGGTTGTCCGGCAGACTGCTCCATTCATGTTTGATCGTATTATATCTCGTCTACAACGATAAAGCACGTGGGCAAGGGTGGGCGACAGTGGTCAGCAAATTATTTCAAAATGGAGTCATCATCACGTCTGTGGGATGATGATTATGTATATAAGGGAGGTTTGGGCAGACCTAGAATCAGACATAAACCCAGAGTTTAGGAAACGACTCGGAGAAGGAACTGATATAGTTGTCAGAATGAATGTGGTTGTTTTATTATCAGCTCTCGCTGTCGTCTCAGCTTTTGAAGTGAACAAAGAGTGTGAAGGTATCATCGGTGTAGAGTGGAAAGAAGACCCGACAGATTGTTCCGTGTTCTATCTGTGTTACAATGGACGGCGAACTAAATACTCATGTCCCGGAACCATGGTTACAGACCCAATCAGCAGGGCTTGTGTGCCGAAAGGGTCTAAGCTAGACAAATGTGAGTAAATCTTTCTGTTGATATTTTTGCTTGAGATACATCAACAGTTAACATCATTTCATCAAGTCCCAACAAAATAATTTTATATTGTGAAACGTTTATTGTCAGTAAGTCTTTGGCCAGTTTTTCTGTGAATTAAAGTTTTGTTATATTCTTGTTTTACTACAAAATTTCAAATGAATAAAACAATAGGGGCACATAAATGTTTAATAATATATTTATCATAGATATTTCATATAATTTCAGGCTCGGAAAAGAACACGCCAAGTATCCCATGTAACGCGGCCTTGAAGGAGTCCTGCGCCAAATACACGAACTGTCCAGTTCCGAGGGAGATGGGGATGCCCATCATACCGGAAGTACAGGAGTGTCCCTACCCTCTACTGTACGACGAGGACAGTAAGGGCTGTGCTTACCCAGACACAGTCAAATGTGGGGACAGGATCGAACCCAAGGATCCATGTAAGTATACATTAATATCATACCATCTGGTTATCTGGTTGTGTAGTATTTGTCATTACACTGATTGTGACGTCACAAACATCTATGCTAACAAAACTATAACGCCATGAATTCACGAAGGAAAATACAAATCACTTTTGTATGATGTTTTTCATTCGTATTTTTGTATTATCTTAAATAGGTAATCATTGATGAAATTCATTTTGATTAGAATCGTCAATGATGCATGTGTTTAGCCCAAACTATCTTAAATCTATATACACAGTAGATAGCCTGATTTTTATTTTATTTTATGAAAAAGTAATACACTTATTTCATAAATCCTGATTCTAACTGAATGATTCCATAAAACTCAAGCATTCATAATTATATTTTTAAGTTAATACGACTTAACGCTTATTATTAAACACAATGCTAATCGGAGTGATAATTCTAAACTAAAAAGCAGATATAATTTTACTTAATTAGTATATATCCGAGTATTCAATATCAATGTCAGCGTATTGTCATCTCGCTCCGACCACTACTTATATTTATTGTGTTTTACCAGGTGATTACAGGGCCAATCAGTGTGAAGGTCCTAACTGTGTGCCGTGTAATGTCCGTCACCCCAGCTGTTCCGGACGACCAGACGGACTTAACGTGTGGGCCGGGAGAGAGAAGACCCCTTACTTTGTGGTCTGTCGAGGCGAGCGCGTGGTGCACCAGGGTCTGTGTCCTCAGGGGGACAAGGGGCGGATGTTCGACCCTGAAATATCAGGCTGTGTCGATATCGATGTATGAAATGAAATATATAATAAATGTATGTAAATTTGCTTTATTCTCCTGAGATTACATGTGATATTTTACCGATATATATCTTTTATAATAAAAGTTACTGATATTCTTTTCGTGTTTTGGTTTTTTTTTCTTGTCATGAACATGAAATGGGTTTCCGACAGTTGTGTCCTGCTGAGACACAAGCAGGGTGTAGAGGGGAGATGGTCCATACCCCGGTTACTGGGCAGGAGAACATCTATAACGAGAACACAAACTGTGCGATGATGATACAGCATTAGGCCAGAGCCTGTTGCATTCTTCGTTAATACCCATAGTGTACTCCCCCATGACGAATTCAAGGTCTGTCTCCCGAAACAACATCAGAATAAGTGTAAGTGGACTGTCAATTTGTTTACGGTTACACCTAGTCTGACAATACCACTTTACATTGGACGGGTGGACATATCGGAGGTGTACATCTTATTACCATAGGTAGTAGGCCGTTACTAAAACCGAAAGTAAGTTTGGACGCTTTTGTACAAATGGGAGTGAAATAACGTGATTAATTGATTTTATGTTTTAATTGTATTACATTATGACACACGTGCAGCTTACACAACATAGATTACCTGACAATAATGATTGTTTCCTAGTAGATGAGGATTTCCACCTGAGATTCAGTGTATATTATTTTCAAAAAGAGGCTATATTTGTAGGCTGTGTCGCACTGCTAATTTCATTCACACCTTTTTTCAATTAATAGGTGATAGCTCATGTTAAGACGTGGTTGTGGTTCATAATTAAAGCACATGTTTCAGATGCTGTTCCAGGAATATTTGAATTTTGTTAAACTTTGGATTATGTATACAGTGAACCAAACTGTATAACATATAACTCTGATACAT